ATATTTAAAAAAAAAAAGTACATATATTTCTTTATTAAAATATATTTATCTAAATGATTATTATATAAATTGTGTTTATTTATTTCTAAAATTCAATCATTGTAGCCTTACTTGTATATATATATATATATATATATTGGGTTATCTGGAATTTAATGTGAGTTCATGGTTTTAAAATAAAATAAATGATACGAAGCCATTTTTATCAATACAAATACACTATATCAATCTCGATACATTTCTATCAACGTGTCGGTAACTTTTCTATTCACTCTTAATAGAATGTTAAACCGTTATTATTAAAAAATCTGAAAATGCATTTTTATAATGAATGTTGAGCAATAAAATTGTTACCTATTAAAATGCGGTCCAGAAGTTAAAAAGAACATGGTAGTAGGTAGGTGAGAGATCTGGAGAATAGAGTAGGTAAGACTCGTTTCTGTTTCGGCAAAGAAGTGCTGTCAAACTTCATAACGGTCATTTTTGTGGCGGCAAGTTAATGCACGAGAAGTTAAAGTTTCAAGCTTTTTACTATTCCAATTGCTCTGAGGTAGTCAGTGATGGTTAGTGTTGACCAAAAATGGTCTTGGTCTTGCACTTTTGCACTTTTATTGAAGGGTAAATTTATTATATATTTTAATTACTTGACACCACTATTTAAAACTGATTTACTTATTATCAATACTACCGACCGATAAACGTTGCCATCTGGTCGGACCAAATTGTTATTACTGTTTAAAAAAAACTCTAAACCTTAAATTTGTGTCCTATTTTTTATTTCAATAAATGCTCACATTGTATTTAATGTCTTTATACCACAACCCTTACATTCCATCTAAGGTGAGGGTCTATCACTATCTATCTTGACATTGTCTTTAAAGTATGTATATTCATGTAAATTTGGTTGAAATTTGCTATGTCTCAATCAAAAGATAGGCGCAATGTATCTATTCGTTTGTGTTGTTCTAAGACATAAATTAACGTGTTTAATAAAACAGCAATTGGCTAATAGGTAATTGCGAGACTTGCGGGACTCTTGTTGCAAGACCAACACCAAGACTACGGCTGAGTGTGCTAGACCAAGACCAGGTGTGAACACTGCAAGACCAAGACCAAGACTAGCCAAGTCTTGTATTTGGGCAACATTAGTGATGGGCAACTAACTAAGAGTTTCTCTGCAAGTTTTTTTTTTTTATTTTCACTATTTAGTATTATCGGTATTATTCCATAGTTGTTTAACAGTGAGTTTCTCTGCAAGTTTTATTTTCACTATTTAGTATTATCGGTATTTTTCTATAGTTGTTTAACAGTATTCATTGTTAACGATAGATGGCGTATTAATTTTCCGAACAAAGTTTTACGCAGGTAATAAAGTTCCTCCTGCATTGCGCCAATGATTGGGATATGTTGAGAGAAATTTCGAAATTCGTAACATTAAATTAAACAATGTCCAGGACTTCACCAATATATATTTCAAATAATTAATGTGGGAGAGATACATGGAACTAGATAGTACATAGTGCATAGAATCCCTTGAGGCCGTGCATGTTAAAATATTGATCGCTTTGTCATTCTTGCGTCTAGTGACCAGAAGACCTCGATAGAGCGTGTTCAATTAAGGAAAAGTAACTCGGTGCATAAGTAGATGGCTAAGATAAGATGACCTCAAGTGTCAGGGGGATGAGCACCCAAATCACTCTTGGTCTGCGGGCTAAGAAATGAGCCTTATGACACCGCAGGATGGAATCCATAAAGGAAAGGATGACTCTTCAGACTTAGTATATAGGAGCAAAACCGGACGGATGAATATCCAGACTTTGAATGGAGAGAGAAAAAGAGGAACGATTAAAGGAGCAATGAGAGAAAGTCAGATTAAAATAAAAACAAAAAACGTATATTAAGCATATTTATAAACCTAATTCTTTATTTGATGCTCAACGTCCCGAAGAAGCAGATCCAAGATCTGGATTAGAGAAGCGAAAGTAGTGGTAACCATTCCGCCATGAATTAATTGGCTAGCAAGAATCGTTTCAGTTACTCTTATTTATTAGCTTTGATCAGTATATCTCATTACCATTATACTTCATTACTAAAAAGTATTTAATGTATATACATATTTACAATTTAGATCTTCAGTTTTTACATTAAAATAATAAGAAAAAAAAATACAACTTCTAGGGGCAATGAGTGACCATGCATATATGGCGCTGCCAAGTAGCGGGCAAATAAACTAATGGTCCTCTGTAGGTGTGGTGGCAGGCAGGTGTACTAATAGGCCGCCACAGTGCCTTGTAGATACAGGAAAGTAGCGAGATGCTCGGGTATTTCCTACATGCAAACTAATCACACGTTTTTAGTATAATTTGCTTATTCTAGTCAGTGGGCATCTCCTCATCTGTCCATGTCAGGAGGAGGTATTTTAATGATTTAATAAAGTTACTTCCACTACTTTTTAAGAGCTCAGTACGGAGTCAGCATCAGAGTCCTTATCATTTTTTAATCATCTGATGGCATCCATAATCTCATCTTCATTAGCTCGAGATTTGATCCTTGTTCTTCCAGCTGGCTTCTATAGATTTATTCTTCTTCTTTGGTTCTTTAATCTTCATTGATGCATATACATTTCAGAAGGTTATTAAAGTAATTCCTCCACTCAAAGTTATGCTCATTGTCCATACAAGATTTTACTGTGTGGGACATCCTTTTTTTGGTTGGCAAATCGAGGTGTGCCTCAAAATTTTTGACGTTATAGGGGAGTATATTTTGACTTTTTTTTTTAATTTTTGTAGGAGGTGAATTTCTATGGGGTTATGAATTTTCTGACTAAAGGACAAGGAGAAGACATGGAACATGCTGCAGCAAGTTTAATTGTATATGATCTACGATTTTTCAAATTTTAACTTAGCTTGCTCTGTTTTTAAGAAGAGGTGAATAATAAAATATCTTGGGAGGAGGGTGGAGGATAGATTCTTGAGCCATCGACCTTGGGGTGGATGGACACCCTTGGGCTAATCAGAAGAACTTTCTATTGTCTTAATTACTGCACAGTAGTTCTGTCTTGACCAACTTATCTCTTTCTCCTTCATTTGTTTCTTCTTGTAGAGTAGTCGTTTTTCATTTTTTTTCTTTAATTCTTCAACGTACAGAAGATTTCGTCCTAACGATTGCTTTACATAACACGTTTTTCACCATGGCAATCTAAGTTTCTTTTCTGGTGCTTCTAGTACTTCTTTAGAATCTTCCATTATTGCTTTATATCAGTTTGACCAGGACTTCTCAATATTTTGACCAGCAGTGCACTTTACTTTAACTTCCTGGGTGTATTTTAAAATTCCGTAGTTCATCATACTTCGGCTAAATTTCTGTATTCTTCATCTTTCTCAGGTTAAACCTTTAGGATTTCTCTGCAGTTTTGCTTTAGAATAAATAAAGAGATGATTAAACACTGAGAAAGTCTTAAACTATTTCTTTCTTTGCTCTAGTTGCTAACAGATTATTTTATAAATATTGAGATTCAAGAAAAATAAATGTCTTTATAAAAGATGTGCGTGCCCCACATTACAACTGTGATGTTGAAGAGTGGCCGACCTCTGTTCAAGGGAATCCATTACATAAGCTTGTAAGAAATCAGCGAAAATATTTAGTTCTGTGATTATATCCAACATAAAAAACAATAATAATGATACCAACTCAGGAAGATATTTCTATTGAAATTACGACGGTGATAAGATGGCGGCCAGCTGGCGATTATCATTAGTATCCCTTGTCCTTGATAAGTTGAAACTTATAATTTGGTTCTCACAGCAAAACATGTAATAGGTGCTTCCTCTTTGCTGTGGTTCAGATACCAGCAGTCTTCCTCATTTTTCCTCGACCGTTTCTTTGTTAAATAGTCATGATTCATAGTCCATTACAATTCAAGGTCATCACAAAAACAAGTAATTATAATCTCCTTCGATCAATTTTCTCTCAGGTTCATTGTCCTTTAAAGCAGTCAGCAGAAAATCTGGAAAACATGGAATATGGTTTCTTATAAAATTTTGTAAAGATCTATTTTTCTAACGGTTGATAAAAAAATATATGATAATAATAATCACGAAAAAATTAGTGCAGTTTAAAAAAAAATGTTATACGAAGTTTATTTAGATTTCATCAATATTTTTTTTTAATTACAGGACGGTTTGTTGATCTCTGGGTGAAATATTCTTTGGAAAAAATGACAATATTCATATATTTTAAAATTAGAAAAAGTTTTTTTTTTTTTATGAGAATCAGTTTGAATATCGTAAATAACTTTATTCGCCTAAAACCTTCTATGCTCACTCTGGGTCAGTCCGTCCAGTATGGGTATATAGAACCTAGAAACTATTTGCTCGACGGATTAGACGTGACGAGACGAGCTTGACATGACAGCTTTCCAATGTATAATTCTAATAAGTTTCGAAAAATATTTCGTTAGCAGAAAAGTTAATTGTTCTTCATAATCGTATGATGAACCTCCTGAAAGAATTTTACGAAAAAAAAGAAATAGAAGAGATGTGTTTTACTCGTTTAATAAATACAAAACCATTTGCTGAATTGAAATAGAAAACATTCACGTTGATATAATAATTTTTTTTTTTTTTTATTTAGAAAAAAGGCATTTTGCCTCAATTAAGGGCATTGAGTATTTAGGATGAATGAAATACAAACATACCATATATACAATAAAAGAAAAACAAGATTATAACAAAATAAAATAAAACTTGGAGTAACAGAATAAATCGATCATGATACAACATTAAATAAAAATAAAAAAATAAATAAAAACACATTCATACTTATTTACATTTCATTTATTAAATCTCTCTATTTTTGTCACTATTCGACTTCCATAACTTATTATATGTATTTTTGATTTTTAAATAAGTTGTTTGTATTTTTTAATGAATGATAATTAGTTACTGATTAATAATTATAAAAAATAATGTATTAATTTGTCTTTTATTTTATTTGTTTAGGGCCTTCTACCTGGGCTCAGAAGTACCCGCTTGCGGCAGGGACGAGGCAATCGCCTGTTGACATTAATACACAGGTCGTTAGCTTGGACGTGACGTTGGTAGAAAGACCACTTCAATGGAAGTATGGAAATAATATTTCCAAAACCATAGTTAACACTGGATACGGATGGAAAGTCGATGTTGATGGCGTAGACACAGGTGAACAATCAGTGTTTTCATTCTCTGATGCATAATAATCTAATATATTTTTTATATATATATATATATATATATATATATGACTCTTATTATATATTTTAGTTTGGTTTCATTCCCCTTTAAGATTATTATTTTAGAGCCAATTACCGGTGATTTGGCTGATGAAACAAAGTATATTCTAAAAAGAAGGAAAGCAACAGAACATGAATTTTCAAACTGGAACTGGAAAAAAAAATTCCTATAGAAGGGGGATCATAGGGAGTCCGATCTAGTCAACTAGTTTTTATTTTTTACCATATATATTTAGTTTTAAGCAAAACATTACATATATTATATAACAATTATGTAGCGTCTTTTCATAATCTTTTCGTTGCATACATTATATATGATGTGGTTGGGTTTCATTGATGAATTTAATACTTGATGAAGGCCCGAGGAAATTTGGCAATGGAGCCCTATGTTTCTCTCCACGGCCTTAGTAAATGTTCGACCCACCATATCCCCTCTAGTGCTATTAATTCCAAAACTAGATAAAAAATTCGAAAATTATTTCATCCAGAATCCATTAAGTAAATTTCTCTTCCGATCTCACCTATTGTCCAAATGACCATTTTTCATCCTATAGCTACTATTTTCGACGTACCACCATTATTGAAAATATCAGCTATATTATCGAAAAATTATACTACCAAACATGAGAGCCTTTCAGTTGACAGAATGACTAACTCCAATTTCAACATATTTGGTTATTAGTTTTAGTGAATATTAACTAGTGGGAAAATCGATAACTTTATTCACAGATCTATATTTCAACACTGCAATCACATACTCTGGAATTAACTTACTCACTGTCTGTACGGATATTATAAATTTCCCAACCATAAACCACTAAAATGATTTTACTAAAAAATTTCGAAATTGGAGGTAGTCATTCAGTCAACTGAAAGGCTCGTATGTTGATTAATGTCATTCTATCCTGTATTTCTACACCAACGATTATTGGCTTGAAAAAATACCATTTAAACTGATAAAATACTTTTTTGTATTACTCATTTCAGATGTGTGCTGTACATACAATTTCTTTTTATAAAATTTTATTTTCCCTTCTGAATGAAAAACTACATTTGTCTAACCATTATTAAACAATATTTCAAGTCCACAGGTAAAGTTCTAGGTTTTCTGGCATCCTAGGCCAAACAATTTTTTCTGAGCCCTAATTCTATCCTCCCTCACCTCCAACCCTACACCAAACTAAGCTCAACCCCACATCATTCCATTGCTACCATGTTCAAATGCTAAATAAAATAAAACTTTTCTGATTAGTGAAATTGTTTGCAAAAAAAATTAAATATACCTGTTACAAAAAATTAAAATTAGAAGCATTACTAACTAAATTGCTCAGAATGAATTAAGGTTTTATTTTCACATTTTTATTTTTTATTTTATGGAACTGACATACATTTCCTACATAGAAGAAAATGGCTACCATACTGCCATAAAGATTCTTCTGATCCTAAACTTTCCCGAAGTGGTCTAAATGGACTACAAAACCATCTTCATGATGGATTTCGTTTTGTGTCTCCCATTTAAAATCTCCAAAATTCCTAGGATGCATTTAAACGTTCTGGAAGAATGTTCCTTTCATATAACTCTCCAATCTGCTCTCCTGAAAAACTGAAACTAATCAGTTATTAAACATTTAAATCTATTCTTCGCGTACTTTTAGATTTCTCTGGTGGCAGCTGAACCATAACAGAGATTCTCTTTAAACAAAACCAGTACGTATTTGTTCAAATACATTCCTTTAGATTGCTCATAATATAAGGTATCCTCAGAACAACTTCCTACTAAAACCTTTTCCGTTTCCCTTGGCTATTTTTTTATTTTATGTAACCAGGGTTCCTCTTTATTTCTTACACTATTTTCATTGACCCATCTCTTTCCATTCATAACACCTCTATGCTGAAAACTACTATCTATACTTATAATTTTCCACTACTTATCCTTGACTGATTTTATTTCTGAGTTTTTGTGAACTATTCAATATTGAAAGCTAAAAAGCCAACAGCGATTTTGGTAGGATTTAGTCTACACCCAAAAAATACTTTCTCTTCCTACCCTGTTTTAAATAATATTCCAATAAATTTCCACCAATCCGTCAAATATTTTGAAATAATCTTTGGTAAAACCCTCTCTTGAAAGAAAATATGTGGGAAAAAACATGCATATTATCTGGAATTTTTCATTGTATCTCCTCTAACTAAGAAAAACAAAAAAGCCTCAATTATCTTGGTACTTAAAATTTCTATATTTTTTAAATTGTAATTTACAAATTTGACTAAATATCATAGTGATAATATCAATCATTCCAGTAATTATCTTTGAATGATTATTTATTAAAATAGTTAAATTTCAAATTTTATTTACAGAATTGCTGGGAGGACCACTCTCAGAAAAGTACAAATTAGAGCAATTCCATTGCCACTGGGGCAAGTGTAGTAATGAAGGATCTGAACACACTGTGGATGGAAAAGCCTTTGCTGCTGAGGTAACTAAAAAAATAAATTCATCACATCTTATTTAAGGATATCTTGAAAAATAAAACATTAATAATTATTTAATATTTTAAAGTTTACTGCTGGTACCTGATATTTCAGATTAAATTTTTGTTACTTCTTAATTTTATAATCATACATAAGTACAAGCTTATAAATTACTTTAAAACAGTGTGCATTGATTTTAAAAGAAATTAGAATAACATTTTTAACAAAAATTATTAAAAATAATCAAATAAAAGAAGGATCATATCAGCCAACAAATCCTACTTTGGATTAAACAAGCATAGATCCACCTCTATATGGATTGGAGTGTTCAACAACTTCAAAGACTACTGAAAAATAATTCTTTATTTTTGAAAGAAAAGTTCTTTCATATTTTTGGAGGAGAGAAAGTTGGATAGGAGTGGAAGCAATGAAACAATGTGTTGTGACTCTATAAAATTATAATAATAAAAATCAAACACAAACTGTTTGTCAGTTTTTTTTATCATAATCAATATTTTTGTATTTATCACTTTAGTAATTAAACAATATTATGGTTTAAGAATTATGGGATTAAAATAATACAACAAACCTTTACACAGTGCCGGCCCTTAAATTTTCTCTTAAGTTGTTTTATATTAAGTAATATTTGAATTAGATTTCATTAACTATGAACTCAATTACTTTAATAATAGGATAAAGTTAATTATTCTGGTATACTTTTTTATATGTTTTTTTTTTTTATTTCAAACAAGCCTCCTTTCAGACTGGTGTCTCCGTGGCAATTGCCTAGGTTGCCCAGCCCTAAGGCTGGCAATGCCTTTACCTAATTGATCTGGTGAATGATCATGTATTATAACTATTGATTACCTAATCTGTTTTTAGTTATATATTTTTTTCTTAATTTTTTTACAAGCTTTTAATAAATATTTTCTTAATCCTCAGCTTCATTTAGTTCACTGGAATTGTGAGAAATACTCCTCGTTCATGGAAGCTGCCAGCCATCCTGATGGTCTCGCAGTAATTGGAGTATTTCTGCAGGTAAATTAGCTATTGTAGAACTACTAACTTTTCTCAAAATACTTGTTTTTCAATAAATTTCAATGACCGGTGAGGTTTTTATGTATTGTTTGAAGATAATTTCTGACTTTGAATCAATAAACACGAGAATTCAAAATTTATTTTTCATTATTATTAATTTTGAAAAAATATAATATTCCAACTGTATTATTTTTAAATGTGTCAAGTTTTTTGCCAAAATGGTAGCACTTGGATAAAAATGGAAGGTTATAACTTAAAAAAAAATACTTGATTCTAAAATTAAAGTTATAATATATTGATCCGAGTTTTTCTTACTTAATCCCATTTTTCAGACACATAATACTTACTACTCCATGATGAAAAAAAGGAAAATTTTTATTTTTGGAATTATGTATTCAAAACCAAATATCTTTTTTTTTTATAAGGGGTTAAAAAAACTTGTTGGGTGTTGGGAGAAATTTATTGAAGTTAATGGAAGCTATTTCGGAATAAAAATATCATTAAAGTTTATTTTTCTATCATAATATCATACCATGAGAAATGATATTTCATATGTTGCAACCCAACATATACATAAACGTCCATAGCCATTGCCTTAGATAGTGTAATTTACAAATGTAAAATATAATTTGAAATGTGTACTTACCTGTAGTTACAGATACAGATTGAATGTTACAGATACACTTAAATTCAATTTCTATCTTTTTAGTCTGTAATAATTTCTAAAGAGATACTTTCTTTTCATTCCTCTATTTCTTTATTTTTTTTACACTGAATCTATACTTGAATAAACAATGCTAAACTAGTGTTTTATAGAAATGGCTGAGATAATTTAACATATTCCATTTTAAAAATTTGTAGGTTGACTCGAAAGAACATGAAGAACTATCAAAAGTAGTGACACTTCTTCCTCAGATCTTACATAAAGGACAGGGAGCTAACATCGACTTTAACTTGGATATTCGAAAATTCTTACCAGGTATGTATTTTTTTAATGCTCAAATTATCATAATTTTTTTTTAATCAATATTAAATATAAGAAACTATATCTTTTAGTTGAGGCTATAAAATTCATCAATTGATTATGCAACATATAAAGAAAAACAATAGCAACCTTACTGCATATTTTGGAGAATCATATGTTCAATATAAGTTCAGAATTAACTGGCATGCAAGAGCTCTGAATGCATTCCCATTACACTTAAACCCTTAATATAGAATAAGCTTATGTACAAATGTTGATCAAGGCAGCTCATGAGAATAAAACCAAGCAATATTTGTGAAAACAAGGTGTCGTTTTATTTTAAGCTGATTTTATAAGGCCACCCGTGAAGTTAGAAAGTAGATTCTGCTTCAAAGAGAGGATCCAAGGAGAAGCAACTTGCCAATACATACAGACCTATATGTTTTCTCCCCATATGGACAAGGTATTGGAGAAGCTGGCAGTATTGGGCCATTGTTCATTCTTATCTATATGAACCCATTCAAAGCAATATAGAACCACTAAAGGCAGAGGACCCACAGATGCCATATTGAGAGTTTGTGGTAGGAGATAGCTATTGTTGCTGGATATTTGAGGACCCAGAAGGCGTCCCTGACACGACTGAATCTATTTAGAGCTAGTGTCAATTGACTTGTAGTGCCTGTAATGATATGAAAGATTTAGAACCTTTGAAGTGTCTAAAATCGTTGTAAACATATTTTTATTTATTTTTTTTATAAGATATATCTATAAAATAGCTACTATATTATTTCATACTTTTTCGCTTAAATCAGATTCTCAAAATTTCATACTTTTTCACTTGAATCAGATTCTCATATCTTGTTTCTGATATGTACGCTTGTGTTGTGGGGAATATAACAAATAAAAATAAAAATAGAAGAATATCTTTTTCAATGTGTAGTCTGTGGGCCAGACCCCCTTACCGTGCACCCCCCCCCCACATCCCTATAAATTGCATATCGTTGTGTTCCTTGTAACTATTTATTAAAAAAAAGCCAATGTTCCCACAAAAAAAAGTGAACGCACTGCCCCAAAATGGCGTCCAAAGATGGCGGATTGACGACTTTGACTTTAGTTAGTTTTTTGGTCACTGCGAATCAGCATTTGGCTTAATTTCCTCATAGTTGGTCTTTTATTAAAGCTGAATAGTCATAGAACAATAAATCATGAAGAAATATTAAAAAATAATTGGCTTAGACTATGAAAAACACTACTAAAGTCAATTTTTTTAACAAAAAAATTTTCAAGTTAAAAATCAAGCGTCATTTGTAATTAAACGGCCTACAATAACGCAAAACGTGCAGATATAAACCATCTGGAGAATATATTTTTCTTTCCAAAACGCTGATTATTTTTTAAAAACTTTTGAACAGTTCCGTAGAAAATGCACTTATGCGGCAGAAAAGCGGTACTGGCGTGGGTGCCTACAGGCCTCTACCACACCATTCAGTACACATAAATGGCTTAGTTAAAGTGATATAATAACATTTTTGGTACATTATATTGGTTTTATTAACGAACAAATATTAATGCAATAATTTAATTGTAAAAAAAAAAAAAATAAAATTTTTTAAAAAAATTTATTATTTTTTTTTTATTTAACCATCTTTATTTCTACACGTAGGTCGTTTAAGAAGACCTTGATTGTAAAAATGATACAATTATAATAATAAAACTTAATTAAAAACTTTGCTAAATATCTTGATTTTTTTTTATTTAACGTTTGCAATTTAACATTGTGTTTTGTATATTTACTGATTCTTAAAGGTAATTAAAATTTATATATACTTCCCAGGAAATGAGTCGTATTAATACCTGTTTTATAAACTAAAATAATATATACCTAATCTGAACTATATATAATGAATAGCTGCTGGGTTGTATAGTAAAACTCATATATCACTAATTAAAAAATTAATTTTTATTTCCTTTATTTTGTGCGGAAGTTGGACTATATCATAAATAAATAGGAAATTTTATTATTGAATGAATTATTCTCTCTGCACAAAGAAAGATAGAAACGGTGACGCTATAAGTTCTTCTATAAGCCAGAACTGATTGTTTGGATTTGGTCTTGAAATGAGGAAAAAGGCGAAATTGAACCCGAAAACTGGAAAAATACATTAAGCGAACGAGAAAGGAAGTGCCAAAACCTCGGAAAAGATAAAAAGTACCAGTATCCATTATATGGCTAAACGAATGTATAGTAGACCGATGAAGAGAATACTTCAACATGCTGCTAAAAGGGGGTCAATTGCAGTTTGGATGATATTAAGTGGACGATGTAGGTTTATTATGGTAAAAATCACTTTATTTTCGATTGCTGAAGGTGCACATCGGGACTATCTTCACTTTGAAGCAGGATATAGAGAGCTATATCGAGAAAGTTATAGCTCATAGCTCTCCTTCTGCTTAGTGCATTTGCAAACGATTTTTTAAGGAATCTAAAAGGAAAACCTGCTTTTCTGAAAGACAATTAGATATTAGCACAATCCTAAGAGTAAGGCACTAAGGAGATAGTGAGATATTTTTCGTTGTATATAGACTTCTCTATAACCTGCCTTAAAGTGAAGCCAGTCTCAATTTTCAACTTCTCTTCCAATGTGCAACTTGAGTTTCTCAATCCATATCTCTCTGGCAAACGACAATATTTCTTATTCCAGCTTCTACGATTCTTAATGTAATACCCATCAAGATCCATTCCTGTTTAGTGTACCAAAGAAATTATACTCAAGAATCGTAGAAGGTGGAATAAGAAATATTGTCGAGAATAAGATGTTGAAAATTGAGACTGGCTTCACTTTAAGGCAGGTTATAGAGAAGTCTATATACAACGAAAAATATCTCACTATCTCCTTAGTGCCTTACTCTTAGGATTGTGCTAATATCTAATTGTCTTTCAGAAAAGCAGGTTTTCCTTTTAGATTCCTTAAAAAATCGTTTGCAAATGCACTAAGCAGAAGGAGAGCTATGAGCTATAACTTTCTCGATATAGCTCTCTATATCCTGCTTCAAAGTGAAGATAGTCCCGATGTGCACCTTCAGCAATCGAAAATAAAGTGATTTTTACCATAATAAACCTACATCGTCCACTTAATATCATCCAAACTGCAATTGACCCCCTTTTAGCAGCATGTTGAAGTATTCTCTTCATCGGTCTACTATACATTCGTTTAGCCATATAATGGATACTGGTACTTTTTATCTTTTCCGAGGTTTTGGCACTTCCTTTCTCGATCGCTTAATGTATTTTTCCAGTTTTCGGGTTCAATTTCGCCTTTTTCCTCATTTCAAGACCAAATCCAAACAATCAGTTCTGGCTTATAGAAGAACTTATAGCGTCACCGTTTCTATCTTTCTTTGTGCAGAGAGAATAATTCATTCAATAATAAAATTTCCTATTTATTTATGATATAGTCCAACTTCCGCACAAAATAAAGGAAATAAAAATTAATTTTTTAATTAGTGATATATGAGTTTTACTATACAACCCAGCAGCTATTCATTATATATAGTTCAGATTAGGTATATATTATTTTAATTTATAAAACAGGTATTAATACGACTCATTTCCTGGGAAGTATATATAAATTTTAATTACCTTTAAGAATCAGTAAATATACAAAACACAATGTTAAATTGCAAACGTTAAATAAAAAAAAATCAAGATATTTAGCAAAGTTTTTAATTAAGTTTTATTATTATAATTGTATCATTTTTACAATCAAGGTCTTCTTAAACGACCTACGTGTAGAAATAAAGATGGTTAAATAAAAAAAAAAATAATAAATTTTTTAAAAAAATTTTAGTTTTTTTTTTTTTTACAATTAAATTATTGCATTAATATTTGTTCGTTAATAAAACCAATATAATGTACCAAAAATGTTATTATATCACTTTAACTAAGCCATTTATGTGTACTGAATGGTGTGGTAGAGGCCTGTAGGCACCCAGGCCAGTACCGCTTTTCTGCCGCATAAGTGCATTTTCTACGGAACTGTTCAAAAGTTTTTAAAAAATAATCAGCGTTTTGGAAAGAAAAATAAATTCTCCAGATGGTTTATACCTGCACGTTTTGCGTTATTGTAGGCCGTTTAATTACAAATGACGCTTGATTTTTAACTTGAAAATTTTTTTGTTAAAAAAATTGACTTTAGTAGTGTTTTTCATAGTCTAAGCCAATTATTTTTTAATATTTCTTCATGATTTATTGTTCTATGACTATTCAACTTTAATAAAAGACCAACTATGAGGAAATTAAGCCAAATGCTGATTCGCAGTGACCAAAAAACTAACTAAAGTCAAAGTCGTCAATCCGCCATCTTTGGACGCCATTTTGGGGCAGTGCGTTCACTTTTTTTTGTGGGAACATTGGCTTTTTTTTAATAAATAGTTACAAGGAACACAACGATATGCAATTTATAGGGATGTGGGGGGGTGCACGGTAAGGGGGTCTGGCCCACCGTGTAGTGTTGAAGATGTTTCTGGCTCCTCTTTTTTCCGTTGGTCAAGCTCAAATTCGATTTTTTTTTTTCATAGCATTCCCTTCCATGAACATTGAAAACATTCAATTAAATATTTTTAAAAGTAAATAGTTTTTATTTCTATCAGGTCACCTATATTATTTATAGAGATTTCAGAAGATTTTTCATCATGATATATATGGTCATGATTTTTCAACTGATATTATTTTTTAAATTTACTGAAATAATATTAATATTTGTATACATGCTTATCTATTTACTCTGAAATGAATTAAAGCATGCACTATTACGAGAATTTTATTAAAAATGATTCATTTATTTATATTTGTTCCATTCAATAAAAATTTGAATACACAGCACTAACCATTAGCTTTTAGAAAAATTATACCCAATACTAAATTATTTAATGTATCCTTAACCATAATTTCCCAAAATAGTCACATATAATAACATAAAACAATTTAACGAATTTATTATTTAAGTATTGTATTGAAATTACCTTTCAATTAATTTTATATATATATATATATATATATATATATATATATATATATATATATATATATATATATATAATTTGGTAAATGATTTTTTTTTTTTTTTAGATACATCCAAATATTGGACCTACCTGGGCTCCCTAACAACTCCACCTTGTAATGAAAGTGTGATTTGGATAGTATTAAAAGACCCAATTAATGTATCTGAAGAACAGGTTTGATATTATAAATTTAAAAAATTAAATAAATGCAAATTTTTATATATTATTTCCATAACACATAATATTTTTTAGTTGAACATCTTCAGAAGCATGAAAAACATAGGAGAAAATGATATCCCACACACTGATGAGTGCGTCTTAAGGAGCAACTATAGGCCACCACTTCCTCTTGGAAATCGTATACTTCGTGAATGTGGATCAATGTGAATAATTACAAATGTTAAAAAGTGAAAAACCCAATTTAATAATCACTGAATGTGTTACCAGTTAAACTATAGGCTTATATTTTAGTTTATATGTTGGATTCACTGTGTTTTAATATATCAAAAAAAAACTTTCTAGTGGAAGTGGAAAACTGTGTTTAAAACTACAATACTGGTTATGATAGAAAAACTAGTGATTGAGTTATAAATTATAATTTTTGTTTTGTTAAAAACAAACAAATAATGTTAAACAAATACATATTTTTGAAGTTATTGTATTACTTTGTTATATTTAATGCATCCAAATATTAATATTAATACCTAACATTATCAAGATTTTAAAATTTTAAACTACTCCCCTAAAAAATAAAAGTTATTAGTTTTTTTTTTTCAAATCAGAAATTTCTTCCAGGTATACAACACTTTAAATTGTACAAGGTATCACGTAAGTAAAAAGGGAATATTAAAAGATGTAATAGCACATCTCAAAAGATTCAATAAAGTTTACATAAACAATGGTCTAATTTTTGGCAGGAAAGCAGGAAATTTATGATTTGTGGATTTTTAAGTAAATCATGCTCTCAGTCAAATAGGAAGTTATAAATAAAAAAATATTTAATTTAAGTAATTAAAATTGCTTCACACTAAACTAGACAAAATTTAATTAAATGAAAGTAGAGTTGAAACTATTTAAAGAGGACTTCTGAGTGTATAAACTTAGGTAAGTTACGTTAAAAAAAAAAAAAAAAAAAAAAATCATGGGTACATATATATTCGTGAATTATCACCCTCCAACTATACTACAAATACCCCACTTTCAGAAAAATTTCCTTGTTTAAGTTCTCAATTATTAAGTTGAGGTTTATTGTAAAATAAGTTGAAATGCACCACAAGTTGAGTAAAAAAAATAAATAAAAAAATGATGTAATATGATATCCTTTCATCTAAAAGTAACCATATTTTCAGCAAAAATTAATACAACAAATTATTGTAAAGCTTTAATTTATTTTTATTATGTGACCTGGGATGCATTGTAGTGAGATAATCACAAAAATACACATTTTATTTACTAAAAAAAAAATGTTTTTTCCAATAATTTATCATATTAAGTCATTATGTACATGTGTTTTCACACCATTAACTATCATGAAAATTGATCCTAATTGTATCAAATGACCAACTAAATGCTCCCAATCGTAATATTTACATTTTCTTTAAAAAAATTATAGGGTTTAATTTTTTTCAGAAATGTTAAGTAGAAAGAGAGAAGTAATTTATTGAAAGTAGTGCTGCCCTACTACATAGGGTTGCTTTTTACACAGCATATTGATCAATTCATATGGACATAGCTCTTAAATCATATTATTCCATTATTATATAAACATTATTTTTGTTATCCTTTTTCAATACTTCCCCACCGTTGGTTCAAGAATGGAACAGACATGGGTTCTCCCGGACTACTGGGTCTCACAGTTCCTCACAGGGCATGGGGGTTTCCGAGCAAAGCTCGTTGAATATGGCAGAACATCAATCCCCTATGCCCAAGTTGCAGAGTGCCGGAGACCGCTGAGCATATCATCCTAGTCTGTACCGCCTTTGAGGCACTGAGGGCTAAGTTGTTGAGGGAGACGGGGCTCTACGCTCTGACGGAGAGCGATCTCCCTCAACTTATGACAAAGGAAAAATACCCATATTACAAGGCGTTCGTATACGGGTGGAAGGAACTGGTTGGGTCAAACCACTTTTCATTGGGAAGAAGAAATGAACTTGTATACGGAAGACCGCCAGAGAGGGTGGAACAGGATGCTGGATAAAAAGAAAAAAAAAGAGCAGGCTGTGTGCACAGCTGTAAAAAATGTAATTGTCTGAATGCAGCAGTGAATTGTAACACATGCGTTGCTACTCACTACTGCATAACACTCGTATTGCCTTATCGGCAGGGTAGGGTGTAAATAAAATAAAATGTTATCCCTTTTCACAACACTAGTCATATACCATATCACCAATATACCACATTAAACAATTAACATTACATAATACATATATATTTTATGAAAAAAAAATATTTGAGTGCTACAAATACAGGACTAAATCGCACACATATATCAATGCAACTCCTATAATATAAATAGATAAATGACAACGGACATCCTAAATCCACAGTCAATTGCTATACATGTTATCACATGGATGATGTGTCACATGGGATCATGTGGATGATTCCTAGGGAGTCCAGAATAATATTCTCGGACAATATTGCAAGCTACTCAATATCAACACCTAGTTTCTCGAGGAAGCTCCTTATTCTTTTCGGGATCATTCCGTGAGACTCAAACCAGAAGAGAGGTGAACTCTCTCTCTCTCTCTCTTCGAAAGTCTCATGGAACTTCTCTTTTAGAAAAGGAATACATTTATCTTATATGTTTTTTTTCCCCTTTTCACTTCACCAGCCTGATAGAGGTTATTGCTCTCAAAGTGGACAGTTAGATCCAAGATCAGAGCTGTATTTCCTTTCCTGGGAAATGCAGCAATGACTGCATACATGGCTGAGCCTCCACCATCAATGCAATATACCTTGTCGAAGCAGGTAAATTCATTTTCTCTAAGGAGCCTCACCAATTCAAACTTGACCCTATGGTGCTGGCGTGTTATGAGGTAGGAGTTGTTGGTGCATTTTCCCATTACATGGGCTGGTGTTTCAGACTCTCTGCCACACTTACGACAGAGGGACCCAACTTCCTTCAACTGTCCACAGGCTCCTGGGTCTCCACGCAAAAGTGCGTAATTGATGTTCAGTTTTAAGGCATTGGACCATTCTGATCCCAAAAGCACTTGCTTTTGGCATATATATTTATTAGTTTTCAGGGTTTCTTTAAAATGTCTAACTCCAACGCCTTGCCACCTGTAGCTTATAAAAAGTAATAAGTTATTACTTTAGATTGGTATCAATGCCCTTTATTTCTTCAGGCACGATTTCCATTTGATTGATTATGGATATTTATAAAATAAAATATCCCATCACTTGTAAATAATGCTTTTTAAGAAAAAAAAGCTTTACCTCACTGAAGTTAGGATTTCTTCCTTGGATTTCCAAATGCTACAATATTCCTTACAAATATAATGTTCATCGTCAACTGGATGTCAATATGAAATTAAGGTAATAGCTAATTATTATAAATTAATATAAAAAAAAAAAATTAAGTCCACCAATTGCTTTAATTATTTCATGAATAAATATTACGAATAGGAACATTTAGTTGGTCACTTTATACAATTAGGATCAATTATCATGATAGATATCGGTGTGAAAACATATGTATAAAATGACTTAAAATAAAAATTTTCGGAAAAGAAATTTTTTATTGTGGTTTTTGTTAAAAACACAGGTACCTTGAGGTGACAGATTATCATAGGATAATTTTTTTATCAACTAAATGTGAATCTCAACTTATTCCATTCCAAACTTCAACTTAATTAATATGAACTTTAAGCTTATTAAGTAAGGAAGTTTTTCTATAAGTGGGGTAACTATATTACAATTGGGGGTGATTAAAAAAATTTTGAATAATCAATAATTATATGAATAGAACTTAGTGTAAATCAGCTGCTTAAAAGTTCCATTTAATTTTTTTTTAACAGAAAGAAACTCTACTCACATTTAAGGACATTTTTCCTAGATTAATATGAATCAATTTTTCATTTTTTTTTTTCTCATGCCTCTTGACTTTCAGCTTTTGTCATGAGCCTTCTCTTAGCTTTGGGCTGTTTTAGGCAACAGCTTTGATCGTTTGGTTCTCTTCAATCGTTTAGTTCTCTTGAAGATATCCAGGGAGCATGATGTTTACTGTAACCGTACACGATTACAATCACTTCCTCTTTATCAGGCACTTTCCTGAAGGTCGGTTGCCAACTCTTTGTTAAAATTTCCACCCTGCTTGATGTACCTCCTGTGGTCATCGAACCCACTTTGTCCTTTGTTATAGATGAGGGCACTTTGCACGCTGTGGAATAACTTATTTTCGTACATTTTAGTATACTTTTCATTCTTGGCAGTAAGCAGTACCTTTCACGGTCATGTATTTCCTTTTGAGAAATAGCTGAATATTTAATAGTGACACTTATTTCATAACTTGAGGTGTTCACTTACTGCTTAGAATCGACACATTTACTATTTGATTTAGTGAAACTTGATTTGAATTTATTCGTATTTATGTCTGATAAGCAGTATTTTTTTATGTGGAACAGAGCCCGAATTTTTATGCAGTAAAAACCACAAAATATATAACAAGAAACAGTCAAATATGCAGTGATATAGCTCGAAATAAGCAGCAGAAAAACCTCTAAAATGTTTTTTGAGTATTTAATATTACTCTAAAATATTCAATTATTCTAATTTGCCCAGGAAAAAAGTCTAAACTAAAAACAAATTGAAGAGAAGATTAAAAATTATATTAAAATGATTTATTTTTTTATAAACCAAAATAATTGAAACATAAAGAGCAATTGTTTTTTAAAAATATTTTTATAATACCAAAATAATCTTTTTATATCAACAGCAATGATAAGAGCAAATTTATATTAATTTAAAAGTAGTTATTTGTTTTCAATAGAAACCTAGAATAGAAACAATAGAAGCAAAAACGAAAGTTTCAATGAATTTTAAACACTTTCATTTTTTGTCTTGTAAGCCTCTATCCAATATTTCAATTTTTGTTTTTAAATTATGTACTTTAAATTATAAAAAATGTTACTACTAGTAATGAAAGTAACAAATTTAAACTGAGTGTGGTGTTAAGAGGTTTAAAAGGAATAATAAGGACTGATAAAAATCCATGAAATGTAAAACATCCATATTCTTAGAAGTCAATTACTGAAGATTGTGTTATTTTGTTGATTTGTGGTTGTTTGTTGATTGAAAATAATCTATGATTTTCGTATGAAATTTCATATTCAATATTGCATTTTACTTTATTATTTATAATTATTATGACATTTTTAAAATTTTAAATAATCCAAATATGCAATTATATGCATTTCTTTTCAGATATCCAAAAATATGCAATATAAAATTTGACTAATTGCATCTGTGTACACTAAATTATAAAGATATTCAATCAACAGTTTATAAACTGCATGCCAACAAAATATGCAATTGCATAAAAATCCTAGCTTTGACTATGACCTAAAACAATTTTAAATAATTATAACAACTAACATTAAGCAATTTTTCATTGCCTCAATGAAATATTTTTTTACTTATTGCTTCCTATTCAAAAAATAACATGACATACAATGATAAAAACAAATTAAATTTCCTAGTTTACTGCGGAAAATCGGAACATTGTTTAAATAAACTATTATGTAGGTCTTGAGGTCTCCTATCACTCCTTTAAATATATCCCTTTACTTAGGGGACACCACTGGTGGATTTAAGGGAAGGGGTTTCAAGCTGAACCCTTCCTCCGATAGGAAATTTTTTTTTCATTGTTCTATATTTTTGTATGTAAGTGATCTTAGCTAAATACTTAAATAATTACAATATATTTCTTTTTAAAATTATAATGCATAAGCAGTTCTTATATTTAGTAGCTGCATTAAATAAAATATATATAAGAAATTTATCTTTCAAACCTTTACTGTTCATGCAAACACTTTTTTTTTTAATTCTTGACTGGCCTTCAAGGACTACTTTAACATTATTTTACATAGTTTCTTTTTTTTTTTTTTTTTTATTCCAGAGTGAATACAGTTGTTTAAAAAACAACTATCGAGCTTCCCTAAATTAAATCCTGGATCAGCTACTGCAGGACACCCTCTATATGTACTTTATATTGTACATGTTAGCTAATACCAAAAATAACTTTTAATGACAAAATATAAATGCTGTTTTCCTTTTCATTGAAAGTGGATAGGTGTTAGCAGGTGCTGCCATACAATTCCTGATCCACAAATCATTCAAAATTATTATGATTTTCTTGTTCTAAACTTTAAGATAATATTTTGGCTTGTCCAATGAACATCTATTGGGATACCTACTATGGGGTATTGCGAAAATATTAGTGTTGATGCTGTTTTCTAGAATAATTTTGGGTGCTCTTTTAAAAACAAATAAATTAAATTTTTAATAGAAATACTTCTTCATACCTGTTCTTTAATAAGCATCTTTATGTGATTTCCAATCACATCCGATTGATTTTTCATAGGCTGTACAGAAGACAACTTTAACATCAAATTTCAACTCGGGATAATTTGATATCCAGATATTAGTTTTTGACAAGATCCTTGATCTCGTATCCTAGATCAGAATTCTACTTTTGCCATTATTCATTATTTTTTTTAAAATTTTTAATTATAATTAAGTTACTACAATACACTGCAAAGCCGAAAGGGATAATGAAGAGCTGAAGAATGAGTGAGAATTAAGTCTAAACAATAAATGTATTTCTAACAAAACAGATTATTCTAGGAAGGTAGTATTTTATTGTTATCCAATACTTTAAACAAGTTCTATTCCAAGAATATTTTCTATTTATATTTATTCCTTCCGTTAGTAACATTCAATTTAAACCATTGCTATCACAGAACTATTTACCTTTCTCATATTTTTCTATCTTAAATTATGAATTTAACATGGACAATCTAAATAAAAAAGTAAATATTTACACAAACATATATATATTTTTTTTATAAATCATCTAATTTAGCACAAAAGTGCAAAAAGGAGCAATTTAATGCAATAATAATTTTAAAAAACGTGCAATTTAGGCAAAAAACGGCTAAACGTGTAATTTTGTGCTATATAAAATTTCAATGTTATCCTACAGATTGTAAAACGGATATATTCGGGTTTGAAGTTTTTATATGCACGCAAATAAAATGCGCAATAACTAAGAAATATGGTCTCTACTTATATGTTTAAGATATATTTTGTTTTCTTAGATATTTTTGTTACTTGCATTTTATATAGGCAATGTTGGTATTAGTCATTAATTCGTGTTGGATTTGAACCAAATTTGTATATATTTGTCTATCATTTAATAACTTTTTTTAAATTTTAATAGTACAGAAAATAAATATATATTCATATGCCCACATCTATGAAAAAAATCATATCTGGTTTTGAAGCCATGGATTAGAGTGAAATCTATTACTGCCCTTTCATCAATCAAATGGTAGACATCTTCATAAATAATATTTTCAGTACCCTTGATATCTATTCCCCTCTTAAAACTTCTACTTTCCACCACTAACCTGCTCCTTGTAAGTGTCAAGAAATTAGAAGCAGATAAGAGTCCAGTCCATATATGCTTTAGACAATATTTACGTTGGTTTTTTTTGTGAGCTCTGGGAAAAAGAGGATCACTCACAGATGTCTGGTACTTATATAGCTTTCATAAGTCTTCTCCTCATAGTCCAAATGGAAATTAATACTTGGTGTATTTTACTTACAAGCCTTTTTAGCTGACTTGTAGTTAAAATGTGATCTTTAAGATCTCAAAGCAAATAAACCTGTCATCCGTTTGGCATTATAGAGTCAAACAATTTGATGTGTGATAAACATGGAGCTTCCAGGCACCCTCAAACAGCTGTGTATATTGATGCAGATTAAGAGCTCTTACAAAATTGTAATAGATAAGATTCTTGTTCAGTGTCATTTAAATGTTTTAAACAATATTGCTATGAGAGGAAAGATCTGATACATCTGTATAAGATCAAATTAAGACTGGTAATGAAGAAATACCCTTACACCAACATTGATGTTGTACTGACTGAATGGATTAAACATATAAAAATAAATAAAAATGTCAAATAAATTGTACTTACACCCTGATTTATAATAACCTTTCAATACAATTTTAAAAACAACAGATATGATTTTGTCTAGGATTATATATATATATAATTATAACGTTTCATATAGGCAGTAAATAGTGTATTACATTTAACAAAATACATTGAATATTATTATTTAAAAACTTTAATTAAAGCAGAGAAAAAAATTATTAAATTATAAAAAATGGTACAGCTCAATTAACATTGGTAGCTAAGAACATAGCTTACCATTCAAGATTAATTATAAAGCCAGTATTAATTAATTTATTTATTAGAAGAGTAAAGCATTTAATAATAATCATATATTTATTACTAAGTGTAATTTAACTCCTATTAACTTCTTCATAGAATTGCCATTGGTCTACATCGCAGACTCTTGTATATTTTCAAATACATTAAATATATATATTTTTTTTTTTGGTTGGCGCTACAGACCATGAAGATCTTTGACCCCGAAATATGGTCTCCTAGACCACATCACAATTCCTGACTTTTAAGTACACGAGGATAGGGTCATCAGTTCTACGTCAATTATCATTATTATCAAACATTTTATACATTTTAGTTATAATAAGTGATTGTATTAATACATTTGTATCCACTAAAAACAAATACCTTATTGGTATTGCAATGAATAGGGACTAAATCTTAATAGAAAAGTGAAGAGAATCACTATAATATGAATTAATAATTATAAGAATAACTAAAAAATGATACATAACTAATTTTTTTCTGTTTATTAATACTATTGAAATTTTTTAATGGAATGGACATGAATTATTAAATACAACCACTTTATTTTAATTATAACATATATTAGGTTTGATAGTAATGATACTTATTTTAAATTTATTTTAGAACAAGAAAATATTCAGTTAATGAGGATTAAATTATATCTTGTATAAATGTATGATATTAATAAACATATGATTATATTAACTATAAAACTTTAAATATGAGGATGATTCACAGAATATAAGAAATGCTCCACTTTCTTTAAATGCAGTGATGAATTATTTCTAAAGGCTGCGAAAATTATAGATAGCTTTTGTCCTAGCAGGATTTCTTTGGTCCAATACCAATCTCTGAAGAATAATGTTATCTTTCTTGATATAGTCTCTTTAATTGTAAATGAATTCCCTATCATTCTGTTATTTTTGGACTTTCTAGAATTAATGGACCTATTTCTCATAAATAATTTTTTTATCTCTATTTTCTCGTTTGTCTTTTACTGCATGATTAGGGTTGTAACTGATAGTCTCTGATCCAGAAAATGTTAAAGGTATTGGAGAAGGATACTAAGTTATCAAATCTGATTGATCAGTTAAAACAGTAGACATTATTTTTAGGAGAAATATTATTAGTATTCCAGGAGCCTTTTAATATCATGTTTTACATTATGATGGTGGTATGCCATAATGAAGATACTAAGTACAAAAAAAAGTCTGTAATGTTTATTTTAATAAATACAATATTATATATTTGAACATTACAATGAAAACAACAAAATTACAATATTTCTAATTTATATCAAATTATTTCAACAAAACATTAAAATTAAATATAAATTAAAAATAACATCTTAACAATTAAAATTAAAATTAAAACTTAATCAGTCCCTGAGATTTCACCCAATCGTCTGTGGTAGTTTTGTAAGAGCTCTGGCTCGGATGTTCAGATTTAATCTCATTATCATCCACTCTGCAAATCGTGGACTAAGCCTGTCTAATAGCTTGACACTATTTAGCTAAAACATAATTAAAATAATTATTAAAAACCACTTCATTTGTGAGATTTCAAACAAGGTATTATTTGCTTTACAGTTTACATTCCTTTATAATTGCTATTTTGTTACAAAGCTTATAGGAAATCATCTTTAAATACTAAGTAAATATTGTAAATCATTTGAACAAAGATCATTTTTTTTACTGAGGTGTTTGTAGACAGTCATATGGTGTCTATTGTGAATAATCAGAATTTTTTTTAAATCAATTTGAAATGGAATGATTTGTTCGAAATGAAGTACATTTGGAAGAAGAGATGTTGCATTACTGTGTTTTTTTTAGAAAAGTACAATATACACAAGGGGTGCCCATCCTCACCAAGGTCAATGGTGCAAGAACCTATCTCTCCCCCTCCTCTCCACTCCCAAGATATTTTATTGCTCACTTTTCTTTACATAGGCGGCACAGCTAGAATTAGAAAAATCGTAGATCAGATACAATTACACTTGCTGCGGTTTGTTCCATGTTTTTCTCTTGTCCTTTAGTATGAAACTTTTATTCCAAAAATTTATAACTCCCTGAAATGTGCCCCCTGAAAAATTCAAAAACCCGCCAAAATATGCTCCGTTCAAAAATATTGATGGCGTAACTTGTGCCATCAAACCCCCTTCTGGGCACCTCTGGTACACACTTACCTTTTGAAATTGAAAGCATATATTAAATATGAGTCATCCTAAAGAAGTTGTAAAAATATATTCAAACAACTAGTACGATTTGTGAGCCAAAGAACCTCCAGGGCAGGAAAAAAAAATTGAGAACCCAGAAATTTTAATTTTTGATACCATATGACACTATTAAAGCAACCTTTTAGTAGCAAATAACTGAGACTGTATGGGATAAAGCAGATGATATCTTTAAAATGGTTTTAATATTTTTTTTTGAAATTCCAAAACCAAAAACAATTTTCAAGTCACAGATAACAACTAACCAAGGATAGGAAAGCTGAGCATGTTATGGCATAGGTCCCAGAGTGCCCAATTCTGAATGTTGTGGGTTTGATTCCAGCCTGGATCTGTTAATTTTTATTTCTCAACGGCCCTGGGAAATGGATTTTGACATTCCCACTCAGGTGAGTATGAGGCGACAACCTCAAGGTAGCCATCAGGGGTTGGCAAAAAGCACCACAATAAGGCCCACTTGCCAGACTAGTTCTCCCCACCAAGTACCAGTAACAACTAACCAGTTGGTGTTTTACCAATCCACACATCGCAACTTTAACATTAAAATTTGATCATATTATTCAATAACCTAATAAAATAATTTGTCTGTGCTTCATTTTCATTTGCTTGGTAAAGACAAAGAACTAATGTGGAACTGCAAGAATTGTTCCAGAATAGTGATATGGTCAGATATATTAAAATTGGTGAACTTCACTTTTTAGTCCATGTGGCAAGGATTCATGATAAAAAAATTCCAAAGAAACTCCTCATTAAACAGCTATTCGAAATAAGACCAATTGGAAGACCCAAACAGCATTGGGCTGATGATGTAGCAGATGATACATCCTTTATATTCAAGACTGGAAATCAGCTGCTCAGAACAACAATGACTAGTGACTGACACTAGTGGATCCAAGATATAATTTTGGGGAGGTCTTCAGCCCGAAAGCTTTTATATATATATATATATATATATATATATATATATATATATATATATATATATATATATATATATATATATATATATATATATATATATATATATATATATGTTATATATATATATATATAACAATAATTACTTTGGGAAAAAAAGAAAGATGCTAATTACCTATATGAACTGGTGTTTAAGTTATTTTTAAACTCCTATTAAATGTAATTACATGAACAGTAATACTTTAAGAGGTAATTCTTTAACACTTTTTACCATCAAACATGGCTAATTTTACCATTTTGGAGGAGGGAGCTTCACTCCCTTTGGCTTCAGGGTTTCATGTAGAAGTTTCATTATTTCCAGTTTTAAAAACTAATTCATAAAGGCTTTTTAAGTTTTGAAGTGAATTTTAAATCATGATAAATCGCTATCCAATAGGAATACTTATATGCAATGAGAATATATTTTGATTAAAAGTAGTAATTAAGATTAAGGCTGATTCAATTGGTTATGTATGTAAATATTGCTAACATAAAGCATAGATTAGGGAATGATCTAGGATACCTGTAATACTTGGAAAAGCCGAACCTAGCACATATAGAGCTTTAAACTGATTAATAAAGATTAGAGAATGTGCCCACAGAAAACTGACTTCTTGAAGTTCAAAACACTGCTGAAAATTAGTACGATAAAATCAAGCCTATGAAACATCAAAACATTGAAGGATATTTGTACCATAAAATCAGACTTTTGAGGGAGAAACCATTTTGAGGTTTCTCTCAAGGAAAAAGCAGAAGAGAGATTATTTGGATTATTTCCTTAAATAAAGGGGATGGGAGAAGGGGGGAGGGGAGAAAAACAGCTAGAGAGAGGGCAATTGAGCAAAGGAGGCTGAAGAAGTAGGATCTAGAAATTGAGGCAGGGTAATATGTAGAGGCCAAAATACCTGAGAAGAGCCTGGATGACAAAGGAGATAATAAGAAGGATAGAAGCCAAAGGGGATTTAACAGAAGCCAATTAGTAATCATATGTGTCAGTTCTGTATTTGTGTATTTCATATAAGTACTTTTTAATTAAAAAATAAATAATTCACGAAATAACATTGATTGTGAGATAGACAGGAGGATCGCAGTGGCTAATCGGTGCTATTTCTCCCTCCAGAGGCATCTTCGCAGTAGAATGTTGTCGAGATAGGCCAAAATAACAATATATAAAACATTTGTTAGACCAGTACTCACTTATGGCTGTGAGAGTTGGACCTTAACTAAAGCACTTGAGAAATCCCTGCTAAGATTTATATGACGCATATTCGGAGGGGTCCAGAAAACAACACAAAACTGGAGGAGGAGAACCAATATTGAAATCAATACATTATTTAATGACCTCGATGTGAGCCAATTCATGGTACTGGCAAGTCTACTCTGGGCAGGACATGTCCCGCACATGGATATCAATGCACCTCCACAGAGAGCTATGAACGAGCCTGTATATGGAACAGACCTTGTTTGCACTGGCAAGACTGTATGGCTGCTGATGCATGTAGACTACTTGGTGTCAGAAATTGGAAGGCTGCAGCAACTAACCGGGTGAACTGGAGATCCATATTGGAGCAGGCAAAGTCTCGAATGATTGGGATGTAGCGTCATTTAATAATAATAATACTTTTTAATTAAATTTGTGTTCCCAACCATGTAAAATATTAAGACATTTCCTATCATCTAAATCACTATTTTTTATTCAGAATATTCGTTTTATATTTATAAGTTCCACAAACAAAATAAAGTTTCTTAAATAAAATTGAGTAATTTTAAAATTTGGAATTTGATTTCATAGTAGTTGTAAACATTACACATTTGAAAAGGTAAGGTACAATAGAGAAGATACCCAAATCAACTTTTAATTTAGTAAAATAAAGCATGAGAGTCAGTGGTATCGAGCCTTTTAATAATATAAATAATTTATTTTCATAGATTGGTTCCTGTCTAGATTGATGTAAATATGTAATACAGTAAATAGATAATTTAATGGGTGCAGTTGCTGAGAACTCAACTCACCTTTAAAACTTAGATAACCAGAAATGCACCTGGGAAAATTACTAAATTGTAATTTTCTTTATCATCTGGTGGCTTAAGTAATACAAATTGGAAAACTAACCAATAAAATATGTGGAATGTATCCAGCTGTATGCCTCCTTATTCCTGTTGTTTCTAATGCTTTAGAGACATATTCTTTTGGAGAAGGTGCCATCCATGTTGATTTTCTTATTTTGGTCATTTTAGTTGCCACAAAACCTGGCACAAGGCACTGAATAGTGATTCCATGCTTCTTATATTCTGTACCAAGATCTTTAGTAAATTTTATAACAAAAGCCTGAAATAGAAAAATATTTGTCAAACATTTGAGTACATAACATTTGTTTTTGAAGAGAAAGACTTAAGAACAAAAAAATATGATAAACTTATTTACAAAGATTATTGATGTAGATTTTTAATTTTTTTATTTAAGTAGGTTTTAATGGGTTCCAAAATATATATATTGTAATATCTCTCTTATATTCTGCAAATAATAATAATATAATCTCGGACGATCACTTTCTACAATTGGGATACTTCCTAAATAAATAAGAGATTATTAAATAATAAACAAAATTATGAGATTATTAATATATTTATTTATCTCAGGTGTCAGTTACTGACAATCAGATCAAAAGACTCAGACAGACTAACATTACCTACACTAAACACTGTTTGATTTTAAAATAATGTCAAGTATGAATTGACAATCTCACCTTTTTTTCTATATACACTATTTCCTCTTTTGTTGCACTAAATTCATTTTTCTTCAAATGCTTTCCAATCTTCTGCCAAACACAACTTCCAAATGGTGACACTTTCTTCTACTCAACTCAAGCTCCCTGGGAGATCCTCGCTCTTGTAATTCCAAACAACTAGTCCCTCTACCAAACAACTTCAAAGATGATAATACTATTACTGGGTTTTATCCAAAAGAGGATCCTATCTCCTATCCTCTCTTCACCCCAGCCAAACACCAACTGCTGGCCAAAATAAAAACCTTTGTCCCTCCCCTCTTTGGGATTTTCCTTTTTGGGGAAGCTACAGAGCAGCTATTTTCTTTTTCCTGAACTAGTAGAACTAGATTAGCTTGCCTTTTAACTTTTACATTAATTTATTAAACTATTTTTAACAACTTCCATTAAAGGAGTATATTACTATATATATAGTAGTATATATATATATATGCAAGAGACTCGTTGCGTCAGATCATATAATTTTTTTACTTTTTTTTTAATCCAGTATATTAAATCTTTTCTTATCCATGATAATTTTTTTAATTACACAATATGTAAGTATAAATGATTGTTTTTTTTTTCTTCCTCCCATTTCTCACCTTTTAGGCTATACAGGGTTTTCCCAAGCCAGAGAGTGAGGGCGGAGGATTAATACCAGAGTTAAATCCCCCCCTGGAGACCGGGATACAAACTCGTAGTTATTTTTATCTAATTAACTTTGATCTGGGTTCCTGGGCAACTTGCAATGCTGCATACACACATTAGTCTTCTTCGTCCACCCCTAAATGAGTAATATAAAGAGGTAGTAGTGTAGTTTAGTGGCGAACAAATATTTGGACAATATTTTCTCTCCAGTGTGTCCAAATTCTTGAAATCTGTCCCAACCTAGATTTGTTATTTTTCTATCCTTTTCATTTTTGAATCCTGTGCTATAAGGAGATCATAGTTCCACTGTTTTATCATAGTTTCCACTCCTTTACTGCTATCGTTGAGGAAGAGAGAGGTTATACTCCAATGGATGCCAGGACACTGTCGAGACTGTACGGTACTGACTAGGCGTACACTTTAGCAAAGGTGGGAGTAAAAAAACTATAGAGGTAGAATTGGATAATATACTATCGAGGAGAGAATGAAATTGAGAAGTGCTGCTTTCAGTAAACAATGGGCCATGTTATAAGGAAAGTAGGTATATCCTAATAGAGACACCACAAAAAGACAGTTACAGAATTAAGGATGGTCACAGTGCATAATTACTTAATAAATATTTACATAAATTAAGCATAACAGAATCTCCTAATTTTGATATTTTGAAACAACAAAACATGATTCAATGCATGAATGAATAATGTGGCACATGATTCAGTGTGATATTTGCACATGATTCAATGCAGTGCATCTTGAACCATGTCTAGCATTGTCAGATATACAAATACAGAATTAATCAAAAACAGATGTTTACTGCGCTACTAGAAGACTCATGGCAGAAGCCGAAAGTCAACTATTATCTTGAAAACTATAATAATTTATTTAACAAATGATTATCCTTGAGCATTTCTAAATATATAAAAGATTATGGATTCATGTTTGTAAGATGATTTAAAACTTGAATGAGTCATCTTGTTTGCAGATATATATTTCCAAACTTTGATAACATAGGAATCTCCAAAGTTTTCATTAAAATTTTAGTAGCTCTGAACTATGTAATTTATAAATAATTTTAATTTTCACTCTGCTGATTAAATAAATTTTCACAGTCCAAATCATATATTTAAAATTAACTTCCTATCAAACAAGACAAATTATCTAATAATTTCATATCATTGTTTTTTTCTTTTGGTATCTTTCTTTTCTTCTTGATTCAATATTCACCACAAATTCATATGCATAAAGACAAAGTTTTTGGTATATGTACCACCGATGCAAGATATTAGATTTCTGTTGATATTTCCTTAATGGAACTTATCTTTTACTTATTTATAATTCTGATTTTAATTTTGTTTTTATTATTTTTAGAAAATATGATTTATATTGTATAAAGCGTATTTGATATTAATGTTATAAAGTACAATCCACTCTATAATGAAAAAGTTAAATACATATGTAATTATCATTAAAAATTATGACATTAAAGTTATTATAAAAAAATACTGACCTTACTGGCTGAGTAAACTGAGAGCAAAGGGCTAGGAATCTCTCCTGTGCCAGATGAAATGTTTATCACAACTCCTTTTTTTCTTTCTACCATACCTGGCATCACTATTTGGCACATTTCAAGCATTGTGACAATATTACATTGAATCATGTCATAAAATACTTTCTCTCGTTTGTCCAGGTCTAGGAAGTACTCTGGGTATGGATAACTTATTCCTACATTATTGATAAGGACTCCAATTTCGAGACCAAGTAGTTCTTTTTCAATGTGTTGAAATACGCTGAAGCCTTCTGTGAATTCTGCTTCAATAATTTTTGTATTTACTTTGTACTTCGTTTCTGGAAAAAAAAATATTGTTATATTGATAATAATTGTTTACAAAATTATCAGTATATACCATAATTTAATACAATGTTAAGTGTCATTTTGCCACTTCTATAAATTATCTGTTTGTTTATTAATGAATGATATCAACATTCTTTCTTTTTTTAATGGTTTTTAATTAATAAGAACTTATAAAATTGAAATTCTATAAATGAATTTGTGATTGATATATTATGCTCGATCTTTTGGAAAATAGCTGTATATTTTAAATACAAATAATGATTAAACTTGATGTTCTCTAATGAGGTGTTATTATTTAATTGTCACAAGACCACTTTTTAATGAATTTTAAAGAAACATCTGGTTAATTGCAATTACCTTCATATAATTAATTTTGAGGTTCAATTTTAGACTTTCAATAATTATAAATGACGGTTTGAGACTTTTTAAAAACCTAATTAGCACACATAATATAGCAAGAGGTGTCATTAAGAAACAGCTTATAAAAAGACCAATAGATAATTAGGCAATTAGTAAAACAGATTTTTTTCAAGTTGATATTCTTGGGGTTTTTTGGGTGATAATGAAGTCAGGCTCCTATCTATGATTTTTTATATTTTGTTTACAATCTATGATATTTACAACTGTATTAGAAATAAAAATAAATTCAGTAAATGTGAACACAAGAATATAATAACATGAAACCACTTGTTGAGAAACTACCCACTGGTGGCACTAAAAATGTATTTACAACAGGAGATCTCGAGGCCATCTTCTTTTCAGACGGCTAGGAGGGTTTATGAATTTAAAAATGGAATATTCAATCTAGTGATGAAATTTTCTAAATAACTGATTTGCTGAAATTCAGTGCTTGAAAATTTTCCAGGTACTTAAATTCTAATTAGATTTTAGACATTTAAAACAGTCACTTTGTCTGTAATTGAAAATGTCAAAATTCCTAGAAATTTACTGCTTAGTTAAATCTTTGGGTTTTAGAGTCACCAATAGATAGATTTAGATACACCGATGCCGTCTGTTGAACGGATAAAAATAAATTCTTGCTCATATTTCCTTGTTCTGGATGGTTGAGGAAAGTACCTTTAAATATTTAAAAATTGGTAAGATGTGGCATGCATTTGAAAATCCTCTGGGACTCTAAAATATTTTTGGGTAAACTCGAAAAAATCTTTTTTTCATCTATTTTCAGTCTTATTTCAATTTATAATACCTAATAAATTATATTAAAATAATACTTTCATAAACTCTGAAAGTTATGTTGTACCTGTGCTATTCGGGATAAGTTTATTCATTCATTGTGGAACCTAATGCATATCAGATTGGAATCAATTTGTTTTTTTCTTTTTCTCTCGGACATTTTTTATTTAATTTTTTAAAAACTTAATTTAAAATAATAATTATTAATTTGATAGTCATATTAATGAGTAAAATAGTCAATCAAGGGTAGTAAGATATGTATTGTCTGAAATGTATATTATATAGTACATTGTTTAACTAACCAATTTCTTGGGCAACACTTTCTAGTTTTGTTTTTGTCCGACTTATGAGAACAATGTCCATCCCCTTCTCTGCCAACTGTAACATAATGAATAATAATTGCTAATTTCAGGTTCTGCATTTTAGGCACAATTCTTAAGATACAAAAAAAAATTAGAGTTTTACCAAAATGAAATGAAATTTCTTTAATTTAATAAATATTGTAGATTACTTACAAATAAAGCTAGAATTACTTTAAACTAAATATAAGAGAAAAATAATTTTAAAAACTAGCAAAAATACACATTTTTATCATAGTTTTTAATAATTTTCAACTTGCTACTATTTAAATGCAATTCTTCCAATTGTAATGTATTAAGGTCACAAGTAATACTGTTAAGATATTATTTTAATCATCAACATCTTTCGGTCGTGCTTTGCTTTCAAAGCTGATAAAAAATGGTTTAAAATTAGTCGACAACATGGAAACAAATTTAAAATAAAAATTGAATAGTACCACCTAAAATGATATAAATAAATGATTAAACAACCAAATGCAATAGATATCTATTTATAGTTGTATAAAACTTACCTTGAAAGCGAATGCCTTGCCGATTCCATCGGTAGCTCCAGTGATAACTGCAAACATAAATAGTATTTTAACTATATGAAAATTAATGGATGATAATTTTATGAAACAGCTCAGAGAGGTCTAAAATGCATTTTATGTTGATTAGGAAAGTAATAAAGTATTATAAGAAATGAAATATGTCACCTCTAAAAGGTTGAAAAAATGAAATAGTGAAACTACGATGAGAAAAAAAACTTGAGGTTTTTAATTATTTGATGAGGTTTCCAATAAACTTTTAGATAATATTTTTAGGATATATAATATTAAATAACAAAAGTTTTACAAAACAAAATGGGAATATGATCAAAATTTGAAATAAAATCATTGATTTTTTTTTTTTAAATACCTTTTTATTTGTAAAAAAAATATATAAGGTTAAAAAATAGAGGTTTTGCATAAAGTAGGTCTTAAATCCTTGGCAACAATGACCTAAGAAGGTTTTTATTGAAGTACTGAGTGAGATTTTCGTATTCTTCTTCAGAATAGCCTATGAATTATAGTGATCTAGGTAAAGTTTGGCAAATTATTTATTCGCTGTGACAATTCATTGCACATATTCTACAGTGTTTGGAACTGGATTATATTTTGAGCTATTTCCAGGTGTTCCATAGGGTAGCTAAAATTTGTTTACTATGGATAATATGTTCATGGTGTTTCAAGAATGGATATCGAATGAAGTATTCTTTAGACCTCATGATTCTTTAGAAGATGATTCATTAACATGTATTAACGAGAGGGACTAGTTACTTCTCTAAATATTGGAAGATATGAGTATGACATCCAAAAAAAAAAAAAAAAAAATGATATTGGACGAACACAGCTTGAAGTCAACAATATCTGATGAAGAAGAAACAGGATACAAGCAAACTTATGCGATCACGTGAAAATACAAATAACGTATTTTTAAATTTAATGACAAAGGACCAGCAGGGGGCATCTGACATTTTAGGCACTATGGATTGCGGATCTCAAATAAATAGACAGTGCACAAGATAAAAAAAATTATTAATACAAAAATGTGTTGGTTGTGTTTTTTTTTTACTTTCATTTATCTATAAATGGAATATATAGCAAAAGAAAGCGTAACGAATTATAGGGAAAGTAGTCCAAAATAATATAGAATGCGGGATTTCAAAGGTAATGCAGGTTTCAAAGTCCACTGAATCCAAATAATCAAATCTTGCAAAAAGGTGTATGTGTGAGCAGACTAGCTCAGAAACGAAAATTCGTACGATTTTTTTTTTTCGAAAACGGTTCTAACGATTTTGTTTAAACTTTTTATTGTTATATAATTTAATGGTATATAAGATCAGATCTCATCCTCGTAGATTAACTAGGCCAAATTGCCAACTTTTCTAAAATTTCTTCCAACTTTTCTAAATCACTAGCGGATCCAAGGTTTAATTTTTTTTGGGAGGGGGCTTCAGCTCGGTAGGTTTTTTTTATTTTCATATATATATAACCATAATTACTTTGGAAAAAAGAAGAAACTAGCTACTTATTAAATGTAATTAATTACACGAACAATAATACTTTAAGAGATAATTTTTTTCCATAAAACAGGGTTTCATTTTACCGTTTTGGGGGCTTCAGCCCGAAAGGCCCCCCCCCCCTTCGTATATCCTCCTGTGTCCTAAGTATATTAAGTAATTAAACGTCCCTCGTTGTTAGAAGTAATAAAAAGTTGACATATTTAAATTTCGATAGAATTTTATGATTAACTAAAGTAGCAAAATGTGGAAAACTATTTTCCAGAGCTGGAAATGGAATTTTAACTTTTATTTTTAATCAGTTTCGGTATGACTCGAACCATTATTTTCAATTATTTTCTGTTATTTCGGAAGTAGAACTTTTCTTCCTTTCAACATTTCAAATAAAAGTTTCACAGAGCTTTTGTTTCTAAAACATATTTATTTAAAAATTCTATTGATTTCGCCAAAAAGTCGATTTAAAAATGGCCAAAAATGATTAGCCACTCATACAAACGACACATTAGAATCAAACAATTCATTTAAGATAATTTATAATTGGGTGAATAATTTATAATTCTAAACTAAGCCAAATTACTATTTATTTATTTAATGTAACTTAAATAAATAAAAGTGTTCCTTAGAACTTTTATCTAAACACTTTTTTTTTCATAAAAATTCCAACCTCTGAAATTTTCGAAAATAAGAGTGTTGATATTGATGTATAACATACCTCAGGAAGCTAAAAATTTTAGAAAAAATAATAATGAATATATAATGCATATAAGATTATGGAGAGTGGCAAAAAATAATTTTTAATTTTTAAATTTATCTTCACCTTGACAAACAAAAAATAAATAGTACTCAGGCTGGTTGTATTTGATAGGAATTGTCGTAGCTGTATTTTTATAATTGAAATCTAATAGTTTATTTAGAATTAATTTGTATTGAAAGTAGATTGGAAAGTGAAAGTTGAGTTATACGCGCATCGTTCCAGAATATTAATAATTAAAGTGATACTTTCGATATTATCGCTCTCCAATATTCTATCAATGTTCGGTAACTTGATGTACTTATATCTCTCTTAGCCTCTCCAAGTACACGTTAAACTTGTATGAAAAACTAAAAGTCGATCGATCGTAGATTCGAAAATATATCGACCATTCGTAATATGTATGAATATATTTATGAATTCATAACCAACAAATTGGACGCTTTCTTTCATCCGAAAAAAGATATAAAGCAATAAAAATCTTTATTAACAATAAAAAATCCTTTATTAAGTTGTATCACATATTTATTTATTTTTAACGTTTCGGGTTTATTTTTCTCATTTTCAAAACTAAATATAAAAATTTTATTTTTAGTCTTAATTTAAAAAAAAATACACATTCTAAAAACTAAGCCAAAAACAAAAAGCAAATAACAAAAAAAATATTTAGCTAGAAAAAATGTATATTTAATTTTTATTTAGGATTTTTTAGGCAAAATTGATTTATTATTTTTAAAAATATGTTGTTTTGAAATTATTTAATGTTATATAAACCATTTATTATTTTTTTATACACCAATATATAGATAAGCACTTTGCACGAAAATATACTTTTTTTTTTTTAATGTAGCACTCCACATCTTTTCAACCATTATGCATTACCAACTCTTGTGAAAGGGGAGTAAAAACTATCTTACTGTACTGTATGGAGGAAGAAAATTAAAAATTATACTAAAAAAATTAAGAAATAGAAAAATATAAATTATTATTATTTTTTTTAGTTTGTTAATTAATTCAGCATATGATTTATTCATATTGTATGAATCAGTTTTAAAATGTATGGCTTTATTTATGTTATCTGTGATTGTAATAGCCTCTTTTATCTTTGTTCTTTAATAATGTATATACAAATTTATTAGGAAGTTATGTAAATTATAAATAAGGCCATATGGTCATTCAAATAACATACATTTCTTTCTCATATATTTTATTAATTATAATTCACCATTGACGTTTCGGCTCAACACTTCCCATCTTCAGAATATGTTCCTCTTTCCATTATATTTTATTGAAGATGAGTCAATTTTAAAGTCAATAAAATAAAATTTATGCCATAATATGTACATTAAAAAGTCTAACAGCCTGTACCTAGCCCATTTTGTCAGCTAAAACTGAGTTATTTTATTCTATTACTATATATATATATCCTTCTTTTCCTTTCTTATTATAATACTATTCTTATAAAATATAAACTAATAAACTACACAAAGCCCAATAAACTACACTGAGTCATCAACATACACATAAAAAAAAAAAAATTGAATGCTAAGAATACAACACTAAATCACACACACCTATATCCACAACAATAGACAAAATACAAGACAATGCCAACAATTTAAAATAGAATAAATAAATGATAAAAGACATCCTCAATTCATGGTAATTCATAAAACATAAGAAGTAGAAATGGGTGATATTTAAAATGGCAAATGATCTAACTTTGTTCTTTGTCTATTTTTGTCTTTGTGTATGACTTTAGCAACTACAAAATAAAAAATGTACCCTAAATCCATATGCCTAAGTTTATATTATTGAAAGAGAGATAAACATTTGCATGGAATTTTTGTAGATCACATAAAACATTGTAGTCTGGTTCATGACTACGCGTTCTATATTATTTTTCTGCTAAAAGAAATTTTAAATTGTTTTATTTTATATTTTAAAATATATCATTTGAAATATCACATCAATATGTCTGGTCTGTAACATAGGTACAGACTTTCCATTCTAGTTGTGGAAGCAATGGATCTCCCCCCAAAAAGTTTCGGGAGTTTATATTATGTATAAAAGTAATGAATGATAATTAATATAATAAATATAATTATTGCAAAACGAACAATATACTACTGTATATACAAATAAATTTATATATTATTATATATATGTAATAAATTTTTTTTTTTTTTTTTTTGTGTATGGGTGTATTTGAAAATATGTTAACAAAATCATTGAATATACTACATATTTTTATTTAAAGGTTTGGGGCAGTGAGATGAACTCTCAATTCTCTGATGCTTCAAATTTGCCGCTGGAAATTAAAAACGGAAGGGTGCACATGATTAAATCATAAAATCCTAGGACATGTTGCTACATGTAATTATCTTTAATATCACTAAAATTATATATCACTATAATTATTGTCCACGTGACAGATTATTATATTTATAAATAAATAAATTATCCTTAAAAAACTAAAATATCAATAATAGGAACATAGGGTTTGTAAAATACTTGCATACCTGCTTCTAGGCGTTAGCTTAGGCATCTAGTTGACTATTCCTATTTCCTTAATTGATTTCAGTTTAAATATTTTATTTATTTATCTAGATTAATTTTTATTGATTTCGATTTTATTTTTGTTCTTCGAAATACTGGAAGAGAGGAGTTGGATATTCTTTAAACTTCTGTTCATTTTTATTGTGGTGAGGGGGGCATTCCCATATCTCGCCCCCCCCCCTCCCGAATTCTGCGCCTATGGTTGGTA